ACGATAATTCAATTTTAGAGTCGGTGGATCATATTGAATGGGGACGGCAGGGTGGAGGTAGTAGAATGGGCGTAGTGCCTCCTTCAAATCAATTATATTGAGAGGATTAACAAGTAATAATACTTTTCAAGTCAACAAAATTCTGCATCTACTTAATACAGGAGGATCGACGTGTCAGTCTTAGAATTGTTGTGAATTGAGGCCTAAGGGCTAAGCAAACCATAGCATATACACCTTTTTTAATATAGCAATGTGATGAAGACCTTTCAAGTAGATCTAGGTCCCCACATTTACCAGATGTTAACTACAAGAAGTTGGGACTCAAATAAGAATTGAATAGCAATTTGTACTAAGAAAATGAAGTTTCCATTATGCTTTTTAACTGATGTTTCACTAGTTTTTTGGTTCATTTAGCTGTCCCTCCTAAGCCATGACTGGCATTGTGACAATTGTCTCAACAGCTAAACTTATCTAGCATTCAAATTGTCTTTCTAAAAGCAACAATCATATGTGTACATTTTTAGATTAAAGACTTGTGACATTCTTTTTTATTTATGTTGATAAATAATTAGCTTTAAGCTTAGGGTGTATTTGGTACGAAGAAAAATATTTTCTAGAAACGTAAGTTGATTTTTAGATTTATTTTCTTGTCTACTCGGCAGGTATACAGAAAATATTATCATAAAATCATTTATATATAATCTAGTTAAATACTATAAGAACTAGAGATTGGGTGGTGGGGGTGGGGGATGAGACTACGGGAATGTAGGTGATGATGAGGTGTGTTGGAGGATGTGAGGAACACACAATTGATGTGGCATATTACTTGTACAACTTGTTTTCCCAACTTCCATTAAGAAAATCATTTTTCTTATTTTTCAGCAACTTATTTTCTTCGAAAAAAAAGTATTTACCTATTTTTGTTGTAACTTAGATATTATGACATGTTTAAGATTATAAATTTTAAAAGTCTTTTTTTTCCGCTTAATTTCGTATCTAATCAAATATCGGTGCATAATTGAAACAATGAGAGTATATATGATACAAATATGACTCCTCACCATTCCCTCTTGTCTATATTTCCCAAAATTCTTATTTAGATGAATGAAATATTTTCTATTTTAATATTAATAAAAATTTAATTAATTAAATAATCTAATTAATTAGAAGAAAGACAAGGAGAAACTCAAGCCAATATGTTAATTTATATTTGGATTAATTTTCTTGTCTCTTTTTACAAGAATGGATGTAACTTATTGGTATTGAGCTTATATGAATTCAGTACATGTGATATAAAATATAAATTTATATTTAAAAAAATCATCAAAATTACAATAAAGAGTAAATATAAATTTATCATTATAAATATTAAATTAAATATTAAAATCTTAAAAAATTAAACCCATATCACTTATATTTTGTTAGTGACATCTTGTTGGTACGTCAAATCACCAAGATTATGTTTTAATGCATGTTCAATATAAGACCACAACGATTATAATATATTTAGTGAAATCCCACTTAGTAGAATTTGAAGAAGATAGAGTATATACAATTTTTCGAAAAAAATTTCAGCTTAAACAAATTAAAACAATAATAAAATGAAAAAAAGACAGCGCGAGAAACATGACAATGAATACCAAAGCAATAACAAACTAACGGCTATATTCAAAAACCCGTAACAATAAAAAGGTGCGATCATTTGCACGAATCACGATAATAAGTTAAGTCAAAACAATATAAATAAATTGAAACAAAGTAACAAGAGCCCCAAATCTTGGGTTGAAGATAGATAAATGTCGAGAATTAAGACTAGAATTACATCCCAAAAATCTAAAAAAATTATATCCAAATATATGGTCTAAGTTAAAAAGTTTCAATCACGAAAAGTTAAAAGCGTCACATACACTAAGACAATACGGATAGAAAATATAGATGAATCCGCAGTAACTTTTTTTTTAAATCCTTTTTAGGTATAAATTGCAAAGATTTTCAAATATAAATAGAGAAAATGGTCAAATGCCCCCTTAAGCTATGACCGATTTCTCAACTACACACTTATTTTTTACGGGAGTCCTATCACCCTCTAAACTGTTTAAAACTAAAATTATTACCACTCTAAATGCCTACATGGCAAAGTGAAGGTATTGCACTCTCCTTGAGAGAGTGAAGATATATAAAAAAAAAATTACTTTTAATATTTTTTCATAAATATATGCATTTTATTTTTCTTTTATTTCTTTTTACTTCTAATATGATATCTTCTCCGTAGAAACTTAGTAGAGCATCAATGCAGCCATCAAATTACACCACTTCTCACCATTTTGAATCACCGTCGTTATTATATTAATCAATACACCACAAATCGTAGATAATAATTTCATCCCTTTTCTCCACAATCAGGAACTACGGACCCAAAATCTTTCAAATCAAAACGAATTTAAGCCTAATATAGTGACACTCAACTGATTTTCTTCGATTAAACTTTCAATACAAGGAAAATTCTTGATCCTATATTCAATACCCAAAAGACCCACAAATTTTATTTGTATGCGCTTGAAATTTTTGGGATTTGATTTCTTTCCGGTTCGAAGCTAGTTTCGATGGCGATTTAAAGATTTTTCTTTAAGTCTCAGACAATCAATCTAATAGATAAATTTTATTTCAGCTTCAAATAATACTTCTCAACTGATTTAGCAACTTGTAATTTTCTTGCAAATCTGAAAAAACGTAGTTCATGTTCTTCATCTTCTTTGTATGATTGCTACGAAAATTTGATGCAAAACCACCCTAAATCTTCTCTAAATTGCCTTAGATTTTAAATATAAGCTTATCTCAACATTTCGATTCTTTTGATTTATTACCCATTCAAAACAGAGCTCGTTTGTAGTAGGTTAAAATTAGAACTCAATCTTATAAACTAACATTAATGGTGGTTTCATGTTGTGCTTCAAAGTTTCAACCTTTAGCTTCGATTTTCAGCCATATGACATTCTTTGAACCATCGACGAACTCAATTTCTCCTAATGTAAGAATATAGATTCACAAAATTCATATGAATGCTTCAGATCCAAAAATCGCAGCTATAAATAAACTCAATTAACCCAGTGTTTTCAACTTCAAACAATTAGCAATCAACATTACAATAAAAAAGTTTCAATATATGAAGATCCAAGATACAAATCTACAAATTTCAACCTTTTGACCTTTAGCATAGTTTTTAGAATAATAAATTAAAAAGAGAAAAAATAAAATAAAGTTTTAAATAAAATTTTCAGTTGTCAAACGCATGCATATCACCTGACAATATAAATGTGGTTGTGAGATTTTAAGGGGATAAATTTTTTAATTTTAAACAGTTTAGGGGGTGGTAGGACTTCTGTGAAGAAGAAATGTGTAATTAAAAATTCGATCATAGCTTAAGGGGGCATTTGACCATTTTCTCAATATAAATATAAATTACTCCTAAAATATTTTGAAAATAAATATTAGAATAATTATTTTTTTGTCCCATTTGCATTGGCTATCCTTGTTGGGAAGATTGGTATGAAGGACAGTCCTATTTGTCAGATGTCCCACAAATTAGAATGAAAAATGAGTGGGTCCCAATTAAAATCCAAGAATTTCAGTTCATTATATAAAGTTACTTCACTTTTTGGTCAAACGTCAGAAAATCCTTTAATACCTCCTTCAAAAAATTTAAAAAAATATATATTACTTGATTAATATATAGTTTTAATAGACTCAAAAAATGAAAAATAAAAATCTCTTCATATTCTAAAGGGAATTTGTTTCTAGTTTGGAAAAAATCGTAAAAATTCCTCTTATGTACCGATTGTATTCCTTTATCTTGTGAGCGTAGAAAATTATTTCTGATATATTCTCGATTTGAATAAATATATAACAAAAATCAAGGGTGTAAAACAAATATAATAGCGAGGAACTTATGTTCTAAACAATTAAGAAAAGAATATGCAGCAATAATAAATAATATGATAACTGAAGCAAAGGAAATAAGTAACATATATTGATAAGAGAACTTGACAACTCTTAACTACCTACTAACATTCTAGCTTAATCCTTAATTTTCATGTTTTTTTCTATCTAAGATAATGTCCTTCGTACGCTATAGGTGTGTTATATTTTGTATAATCACCATTTTCTAAGACTTCTTCGACTTACTTCTATCTCTCTTGATATCCAATATAGTTCATCTCTCACATTAATTTTACGAAATAAAAATACTTTGTCATCCACCTATTGAATCGGAGTTGCCCTTAATGATAATTTTGACACATAGTTAGGGCATTTAGTTGATTGAATAATGTTTTGTCTTCGAGAGATTTAAAGTTCGACTTGAAACGATTCTTTTAATAGCAAATTCAATGATTCTTTCATAGCATTAAAATACACAATCCATTGTTCTTGCTCCGTGTTTATTCTAACATGGTCGAACATCATTTTGTATCTAATTATTTGTACCAATTCAAACAATTGAGTGAGAAAATACAAAATCATTTAGCTTTACATAGAAAAAAAACTAAGTACTACTTTGTACCCCATTTATCAACACATCACATCTATTCTTAATGCATACAAAAATGGAGGACAAACATACCTTTTAACTTATAACCCAAATAAACTCTTTATGTTATGGGTCAATATATGAGAAATAAAATTTAAAATATTTGAAAATCAAAAGTAATCCTAAAAATTCATCATAACAAAACAGAGAAATAAGACTTTTTTTCTTGCTTCCCCTCCCCTATGTTAGCTACGAACAAACTACTTTGCTTGTAGCTAACTTCAAAATTGATAATCAATAAAATATTTCATTGAATCAACTTGATAACCCGTTGTAATAATTCGAATCATAGTATCACGAGTTTGACTTTAATTGATCCAGCCCTCTTACTCAATTTACCCCCTATATTTAAAAAAATAAAATAAATTAAAATTAAGATGAAATTTAAAAATAATTGAAAAAATTGAGAGCTGGAAATAGCTGGAAAATGACCTACTCCAACAAGAACTGCTTCACAATCTTGGCACTTGGTTCCAGTACCTGTTCTTCCCAAATTTTCCTCGCCGGATTCTCGCCGCCGGCCATTTTTTCCGACCCCATTTTCGCCGTTAACGTCGCCGTGGCATCCACTTTTTGTATGTTCCATCCACCTTCTCTCAGCCGCATGATCTTCTTCACCTGTCTTTCTGCCAATACCCTTGTGTTCTCCTTAATCTCCATGGCTGCTTCTTCGTATGATATCTTCCCTTTAAAGTATTTCTCGAACTCCGGTACTCCTATTGCCTTCCGGATCCCGTCGGAACTGGAATCGGAAAACCCCTCTTTCTCGAAATACTCTTTTAGCTCTTCAAACATCTCCGAATCGAGCATTTCATCGACTCGTTTATCTAAATACTGATTCAATACAGGTGCTATAGCATCAACCCAGATGAAGCAACACTGGTAACGAAGCTCGTTAATCACCGGATTTAACGATTCGAAAATGTCGAATTCTGAATCGAATCGTTTTACTAACAGAGCATAGATGAATGAGTTAGACCCACCTACAATAAAAGGGATTTTCCCTCGATTAACGATTTCGTTGATTCTGAAATCTCCAGCTGATCGGAAATCGGAAGAGGAAAACTCCGGGTGTGATTCAGTAGGTTTGAACTCTCCGAGAAGATGATGATGGATACCGCAGCGTTCAGTCATTGAAATTTTGTTTGTAGTGATGTCTAAACCATTGAAAACTTGGATTTTATCGGAGTTAATGACTTCGATAGATGGGAAGAAATGAGTGGCGAGGTCGATAGAGAGTTTTGATTTTCCACAACCAGTAGCACCCATTATCACGACGATCTTTTTGGATCGTCGTGGTACATTACCACTGGTTGCTGATATAACCACATTACGAGTCCATTTGGGGAAGAAGAAAATGTTTTTTGGTCTGAAGAAAAACAACGTGTTGGAATGATTAGTACTCGTTGTTGATAAAAATGATAATTTTCTCATAAAGTAGATGATAACGATAATGATAATGATGATGATAAATTAAGCAACTATTTATATGCACAGTAAAATACGAAAGATTATTTATGGATCGTTGCTTTGGCAGAGAATAGTACGAAAAAAAAAACAGAGAAGTAGAAGGTGGGCTGATGAAAGTGGAACAGATAATGGGTATATATATTTGTTATTCGTTATTGTGTATATAGAGTAGTACTATTATATTTGCTGGTTCATCTTCTTCATAGCTACGAACAATTTTCGAGCTTTTTTACTTCAATGGCTATGGATAATGGACACTTTTCGATCATTACGTGTATCATTTCCTTGATAGTTACTTAGTTTCTTGCTGAAAGTGTTGCCATTTTTGAAGTAAGGTAGTGTAGTTTTCTTGATTAGTGTAAGTGTAAGTGATATGAGGGAGAATTTATGTCCATTTGTCTCCCTTTATATATACTTTCACCCAGCATAAGTTTGCAACAATCAGTGATCGTTTGGTAGTTGGATAAGAAATAAGTTATTCAGGTATTAATTTTCATATAACTTATACAACGTTTTATAGGTCGATAAGAAAAATAAGTTATTAATGTTTAAAATTAATACGATCTTTGGTTGACAATTTCAAAATCTGTATAACTAATACATGTATATGTTATTAGGGAGTTTGTGTATTATTTTATACCAAATAGAAGGTGGAATAAGTAATACATGTGTAATTAATATATGAATAATTAATTAATTCATAAAATAATATATAGATTCACTTATAACTAATTTCTACATTACTAATATTTGCAATACACTAATAAGCTATGAAACATACCCGGTATATAGGGGTGTTCACGGTTTGGTTTGGGTCGGTTATTGGTCAAAACCAAAACCAAATCAACTTAATCGGTTTTAAAATTATCAAAACCAAACCAAACCAAATATAATATACATTTATCGGTTTGGTTGTTTTCGATTTTGGTTTGGTTTGGTTCGGTTATTCGGTTATTAACCATACATAAAAATAAAAGAAACAATTCATTCAAAACGTGAAAAAAGTGACAACAATCCATTCAAACAAGAAAAATAGTTAGAATGACTGGCATTACAGAACTTTCGATTATTGAATTTACTAAATAAAACTTCAAAATTCACTATTTTGGCATAGAAGGAAGAGACAATGACATTTTCAGTCCCACAAAGAATTTCTATAGACACTCATATATATGAAACCAATAAGAAAAATGTTCTCACCTTGGACATTTTTTCTTTCATAAGTAAATTATAAATAAATTTGATGAAACATATATAAAATCTTTTAAATTGTTTATGAATATAATATATTATGTATGTATAATAATAAAATTTATGTATATAACTTGTTGGTTCGGTTCGGTTATTTCTTTGATTTTTTCAGAACAAAACCATAACCAAACCAAATACTATCGATTCTTAACAATCTAAAACCAAACCAAATCAAAACCCAAATTAAATCAGTTCATTTAATCAATTTGATTTGGTTTTTCGATTTGGATCAATTTTTATCCAAACCATAAACACCCCTACCGATATATCTCAAAGTGAGATTTGGGAAGGTATTGCCTTTAGGAGGCCGTTTCATAAAGTTTACAAGAATAGTGTTGAATAGATTGTATTAGAACGGTTGACATAAGAAATATTGATATCACTTATGCTCTCACATTAGTTATGCTAAGATTATTTTACTATTAAAAAATTATAAATAAAAAATAAAAGATTGAAAAAGATACATAAAAAGTGACATCAACGGTGGACATCTAAAATATAGATTGTTTTTCATCAGAGACCTCATGAGGCCGTCAAAAAGAGACTTCACGAGATGACCAATTTATTTTTTGAAATTTTTATTTATTTATTACAAAAAGAGATTTCATAAGATCATTATTTTATTATTTATTTATATTTATTTTTGCTAAAAAAATTCATGAGGTCTCTATACTTTATTAAATTTATTTTGATTCGTAAATAGCGATCATGAGTTCAACTTTTTTTAAATAAATAAATAAATTGTTTTTTTGTAAAAAAATAAATAAAATGGTAGCTAATTGTTGTTTTTGTAGGTGTCCATCTACAATTTTAATTCAATTCAACAATATATATATTCTAATTAGCTAAATCAAGTTTTAAGAACGGTCAACAATCAATCAGATTACAACAAATATATTTACTAAATATCCTCTAATCAACACAACATGAAAATCAACTTAAAGTACTTCGAAATTGAACGAAAATAATAAGGGATAAGTGTCTGAAAAGTATCTCAACTTTGGTCGAATTTGTTGTTGCGATACTAAACTTTCATGATGACCTATTACCTCCCTAGACTATTTAATATCGTATTTTAAACATATATATTTGTCCATGTGGACATAAAAAATAAGGCAAAATTATAAATAGTAATGTGTCCACGTGACACATATATACCTTTAAAATACACTATTAAATAGTTCAGGAGGTAAAAAATACGGTATTAAATAGTCTAGGGAGGTAATAGGTCCTCATGAAAGGTTAGTATCGCAACAGCAAATCCGATCAAAGTTGAGGTATTTTTCAGACCCTTATCCCAAATAATAATAAATAGAGGTCGTAAGTTATACAATAGGATTTCAAGCTAATTCGAAATTCTTATGTATTCCTAAAACACATAATAATCTCTAATTTTTCATGATTCATACATTGACATTTCTCACAAGGACACTTGACCAAGCCATTAAGTTGAAAAGGTTCTAGTATAGTCTATAAATCATTGACATCTTCTACAAATTTATGCGTCATCCCCATTCAACCAAAATTAGTTATATCATAGATCCAACTACGCTCCATATACACAAAGATCACAAAATTTGAATTTGTTAAACACTAGATTAAGTAATAACTCAACATTTTTTAAGTTAGAGTTGTATAACTGAATTGGATTCAAGTTAGATTTGCATTTTTTCCATTCTAAGTGCAAAGTTGAATTCTAACGTCAAAGTTCAAACCTAAATTCAAAGATTCATTTAATTTAATTCTATTTTCTTCTTAAGATTTGTGTTCCAAAATTCAAGATTCAACTTTTATTTAGGATCAATTCTAGATTCATAGTTCACTTAACTTATGAATTTATGAAACTAATGTAACCTACATGTAAATACTTGATGTTTTCATTATCTTAGAAATCAAATTGTAGCCTTATTCTACTTAATCTTGAAGTATTTTAAAAGATTTTTAAAAAAAAAATTTGCTTCAAATTAGAGTTACTTTTGGTTTCAATTTATGTTCGAAGTTGAATCCTAACTTCAAAGTTCAATCGTAAATCCAAAGTTCAAATATTTTTTTAATTTAATTCAAGTTTCAACTTAATGTCATATTCCAAAAATATTCAAGATTCAACTTTTATTCAAAGGGTCAATTCAAAATTCAAAATTCACTCATCAACTTATGACTTAATGCAACTAATGTAATCAACATGTAAATACTTGGTGTTTTCATTATCTTATAAATCAAATTGTAACATCATTCTACTTAATCTTGAACCATTTGAAAGAATTTTTTTGTAAAGAATAATTGGCATCTAGAGTTGTCTTTTTTCTAATTTTAAGTTCAAAATTGAATCCTAACTTCAAAGTTCAATCCTATATTCAACGTTCAAATATTCTTTTAATTTTATTCAAGTTTCAATTTAAAATTTATCTTATTTCAAGATTTATGATTCAATTAAGAGTCAATTATTCAATTTTTATTCAAAGAGTCAATTCAAAATTTAATTTTTATTCAAAGGGTCAATTCAAGATTTCATCGTTCACTTTTAGATTGAAAAATCAAAAGAACCATTTGGGTTACTTGTTAATAAAAATAATATTATCTATGATACAACTCCAAATATTATTATGTAATCGATAAAAAATTTAATGTCAAAGTTAAAACTTGCTAAACGTAAAATTTAATCTATCAAACAAATATCATCTTCCTTAAAATACATGATTACCAACTTCCACGGTCATTCAAAATTATGCAACCAACATAACTAATTACCTTCCAAAAAAATTAATTTCAATTCTAAAAATAGTTCACATTGAGTAATTTCATATTTTCGAACAATGATTAGATCGAATATGAGTAATTTCATATTTTCGAACAATGATTATTCATTTTTTGTCAATGCTCTAACACTATCTATCTTTCTCCTTCTTTATAATTAAAATAAATAAACATAGGTAAATGCAAATATTAGATGAGGATGGAAAAGACTAGTAGATGTAGAGATCAATGATATTATGATGAAGTAGACAATAATTATATTTAAAGATTATTTCGATTATTATCATTTTGTGTTGTCCTCTTTCTCAAATAATAATTATAATTACTTTTTATATTTTATTGGTGATTTATTTAAATTTATTTGTAGATATGGAAATTTTACTATTGTCTATTTTCTAATAGTAATAAAACTGTAAAATTGAAGATATATGAGACTGACGCCCCATGTTTCGAAGCTTACGCCTCCGCTTGTGTTGTGTAAAATGTCTCACCTCATACCCGTCTCTTAATACATTGATAAGTATTTTTTTCATTCTTAATCAGATGTACCTTGGGGTATGTTGTTGTGTTTTGTTAGAGGTTGCTTAACACTCGAATCTTTTCGGCGCAAATTCAAAGTTAATCGGAACACAATATGAATATCAGACATCAAAGAAGAAAAAAGCTAAAATATGTTTCTTTCTACCATACTAATTATATCAAGTAAGATTTACATATATTTGATACAGGTTGATATGCTTTACTTGAGTTGAGGGTCTATCAAATACAATTATTCTCTGCTTACTCAAAATAGGAGTTAGACTGCATACGCACTACCCGTTTTAGATCAACAATAACAATAACAATAACAACATATTCAATGGAATTCCAAGAGTGGACACTGAAGAAGATAGAGTGTATGCAGATCATACCCCTACCTCGTAGAAGTGATGATAGGACAGAAAAAAAATGCAGTATCA